AAAGACAAAACAAAGAGTCAGCAGAGAACTTCCTGCTGACTCGAGAAGCGGTAGTCCGTTTCGTTCAGGACTCCATCGCAAATGCGGTGGACCGCCAGAAACGGAACGCAGACAAGAATGGAATAGCAAATGTTCTTTCATTTAAGGTTAATGACCTAGTACTACTGTCTACGGTAAACTTACCTGGACATGCAGTCACTAGTGTCGGCAGTAGTTTACTACTGCCGAAATATATTGGGCCATTTCATGTGTTGCACCGCAAAGGCAATGCATACACGATCGAATTGCCACGTAGGATGCGCACGCATACTACGTTTTACGTGGGGAGGCTTAGATCGTACTGTCAGTACGAGCCTTCTTCTTCCGATGAAGATAGCCCCCACGTTCAATAACATCCATCAAGTTCTTGCGTTCGCGCTCCAGACGATCCGTCTGGTCGCGCAGATATGATACCTCGGAACTCAACCGAGATATCTCCCCGCGAGCTGTCGCCAGCTCGCCGAATAGGGAGCGGACATTTCGCTCTACCTGAAGCTGCGCTGTGGCATAATCGGCGCGATCCGTCGCCCGATCAGCCTCGTGACCCTTGCGGTTCTTCCGCACGGTATCGGTCAAAGCGTAGCGCCAGTCGCGCTCGTGCTTCAAGTCATCGCGCAATTCATCGATTGCGCGATACATCTCGTAAGGGTCGAGATGGTGAACCGAATCATCTGGAGGAGTTCTTTCCTCCTCCACCACATCCTTTGGTGGATGCGCACGGTGATCAACGCTTTCTAGTGGAGCGTATCTTGAATCACCGTGACGATTCAGGATCAAGGACGAGCTACCTCGTCCAGTGGCGGGGCTATCCACCCTCTTGAAACAGCTGGGAGCCCCGCCCTCAGCTGTAGATGGATGTTGAAGGTCTCGTCCGCCAGTATGACGAGACCCATCCGATGAGTCCTCGGTCCCATCGGTAAACACGCGCCCTAGGCGCTTGTAGACGGATTGCAAGTTTGCAATCGCGTCACGCTACTCAGCCGAGATGTGTGCCCTTCCCCAGGGCGAACTTAGGGAATACACGTCCCTAGGTGCACGCTGTGAATTGTCAACACAACTCGCACAAGGGTCTCCCCATGTGAGGCAAGGAATGTCTGCCTCACTCGACAAACAGTGCAACCGGTACCTAGCACCGGTTAGCGTTCGCCTTTCGAACCTGAGGCGTGTCGCCTTAAGTTTCTTAAGCCACCCTTCTCGTCCAAAATTCTATACGTTTTGGACGAACGCGTTCCACGCTGTCAAAAGCGAGTATTTGTCTTGCTTTTGTTGCCGTTGTACCATCGATGTCTAAGGAAGACATCGAGATAAAACTCTTCCTCAGCGCGAAAGTTACTCGCGCTGGAACTCAAGCCGTGAAGCTCAGTCGCATCGGATAAGGGTATTCGATGGTGTTGGATTGTCTCGTGATACAATCCATTGATGAGCCGTTCGAGCAAACGCCACGGCTTCGACTCATCACGCTTCACAGTGGTACCCTTGTCGGTACCACGGCTCCCAGATTGACGACGGCTCACGCCATCGTCATCACGCTCGTGCGAAGACGCACGAGCCGGTGGTGGTAAGGAATGATATTCCTCACCGCCATTATCATCGTCATCACTGCCGAACAGACTGTGATGAAAATCACGAGTCAGTTCGTTCGGCAGTGGTCTTGGCGAATACTGAGGCGTCGCCGGTGAGCGAGACGCCTCTGGAGCATTGCCCGAGTCAGACACGTCTGACTCGCCAGAGTAGATGACCTCTACGTCGAGGTCATCATGCGCACGCGGTGAGGTGCCGCGTGCACCTGCAGCAGCTGTTGCTGCAGGCGAAGAAGGGCAGCAGACGACGAATTGTCTGCCGCAGAGGCTGACACAGAACCGGGCTGTGTAGATCTTGAGTCACCTCGCATAGACATGTTAACGATGCGAGGTCAAGCGGAAAGTGAATAGAACGGACCCAACAAGTGCTCCCTGTCCCAATGGTGGCCAACGGGTGGCCTCCATATTTTCGATAGTCACACGGTGAATATCAGTTAAGGGGGGTGATGTAGCGGGGCAGCCCGTTACATGAAATTGTCACTTTAAGGAAAGTGACAATAAAGAATATGAAGATGGATATTCTTTAAACAATATCACCAAAGTGGTGATATTGAAGGGTCGACCAAAGAGTCTGTTCATTGGTTGATATCTTGACGATATCGACCCACCAATCGCCGCAAGACGCGCGCAATGAGTGGTGACGAGACGTCACCATACACTCAGTTAGATTAGTATAATTAAGTTAAGTCAAACAGAGAGATAGTGGTTAAAGACTTAATTATATTAATATAAAAGTTCTGCTTTTACCTTATCTACGCTTCCTCGTTTGCCTCGTGTACGTTTGTCGGGCGCACCAGAACCCTTGCGTTAAGTTCACGCAAGGGTGTGCCCCGTTACACTTGCTTTTCACAACTTCGGTATTCGAAAACGATGATAACTACACATGTGTTTAATGAAATCAACGATCAAGATATTTGCCAAAGCAGCGTTTGCCCCGAAGGCGATGAGCGATATTGAGCAACACAAGTAGAACTACGTGTGTATATGGCCTGTAGCGATGGTTAGCCTTTCATTCGCGAATACGCCCTCACCTCGTGTACCTGATTATCGCTGATCGGTACAGCCTCCTACTTATCCTCGTTTTATTGTTGGCTGACTAGTTTTATTTCGTTGCTCGCGTCATTTGGCTCATGCTTCGTCATTTTACGATCAGGGGCAAAGTACTACACGCTTTTTATGAACAAAACGTGCTAGCACTATTGATATGCTTCAATATCTCGCTAGAGCTCGTATACTCGTAGGGTATGACGATGCTCGATCAAAATGAAGGAATGACCCTCCCACACCAACGCACCGAAGGGTATGTCAAATAATTGCACTGCCCCCGGTGATCGAGTGGAAATGCACTGGCACTGGGACCGGGAGGCACGTGTATCTATACCCGCGCAGGGGCGATACGATTACACATCGCCAGAGAGTGGCTAACAAAGCCGAATATAGTAGGGCGTACGCCTACCCGAAATTACCTCAAAAATTCTCTAAGTTCAAATAATTTGGTGCAATCCAATGTAAGAAATACCGTCATGACGTATAGCCGTCTGTCGAATTGTTTTTACTTATCCGAGCTACGGTGGCGTCATGGAGGCTACAAATGACTTCATCAAATCGATGCAAGCGATTACAATGTCGTGCTTAAATACGTCGCACTATTCGTTGACCGGATGATTGGCATACCATTCATATGTGGACCTAAAGTGGTGGACGGCTATGATTGATGGTGTAATTGATACAACGAGCCAAGTCTGTGATTTGTGCATCCTGTGCTGGAAGCGCATCATGCTTCGATGCTGTGGAGTAAGCAGTGATATCTTAACAAATCGAGGCGATGAAGACAAGTTGATTGATGTGGGAAGTCTCGCCGATACGAGGTATGTCTGAGTCGCCCTTTTCGATGTCGGTGCCGCTTCGTGTAATCTACAGAAAGGCTTTAGCTCTACGATATACGTCGTCCTTAACAAGAACACGAGTCAACGAGTCTACTAAGCTCACTGAGCTTCAAGTCCCGAGTAAAGGGACTTCAACGATTCAGAGAATCACCAGCACAAAGCGCTTACGAGTATGTGCCTTGACAAGGGTTTACAACTCTTATAATCTAAGACGCCTTAACAAGGCACGTGTCGGATAAGATCAAAGTGCAAACTGATGTTCATATCCACTTTTTCAACACGGAAATGAATCCTGCCAATTTACTACATTTTAACGCTTTACCCTGTATTAGAGTAAAAATTGAAACATATCTTCGATGGCTAAAACGGCACTGATGTTGGGGGATGGTAAATGCATGGCACACGTACGTGTGCATGGATGCTCTACCACAGTGTACCATTGTCAGAACAAGTCCAAGCCAACGACTGAAATTGACATCTCGCGGCCTGCTATCCTATCAACTCGACATGTGCTAGCTATAGTCGCGGCAGACGCGGATGACCCGACGCAGTCTTTGCGGTTATTTGGCGCGAGTGTAAAGAAAGAACTTGTGCTGCATGAACGCGGCGTATTTAATGTTTAGGGGCCGGGTGACAACTCTACATTGCAGTGGTGGCGTGTGGTACGAAGGAAAAGGTAAATTACGTGTAACAAAGAAGCTGTAACTTGAGCTGCAGCATTGTGGTGGGCAAGAACACGCGGCACGTGAGAATGGTCGCGTGCGTGATCATCCAGGAAGATCAGCCACAGAGTCTGATGTTGCGAAGTTCCGAGCAATACCAAAGACTCTACAGTAACTCGATGCACTGCCGTAAGAAACATTTTGCATCGCGATAAGTTACTAGTTGCCACGTCAACAACGTCGCGAGTCATGTAACCTGAGCTGTGTGTTGTACATCAAGTTGTCGCGCCAAGCAGTTTTAGGCTAGTGCCATCTTACTTGAGTGAAGGAAGGAGGCGCATTGCGCACGTGGTTGCGACCCCCGCCTTGAATCCTATCCGAAGTGGGTCGCGCAGTCGATTGCTACACGCAACAGGCTTACCTCTTCTTACTCGTGCTATCCAGGACACTACGACCAATGCATTTCGGCAATATGGTGCGCTCTGACACTTCATTCGACCGACGACCCCGACAATCCATACTTTGTTTCGTTTACGCATGGCGAAGTTGGGCGAAGTAGAGAGATGCAACCCGTGTTTTCCTTCTATGTCAGGCATTAGACAAACAGACAGCGTCAAAAGAAATGTATTTTGTCGTAGCATTGATAAGTGCGGCACGACAAAAGTCGAGCGTAAAACATAGTGACGCCCTCGTGTCTGACAACCCTCGATCAAATGTATTCGACGTGGTAATACGTACCAGAAGCTGCATGCGCTGTGGGCGAATGGTAGAAATGCAGCGCACCCATCGCTCAAGTGTCAATGCCAAGCAGAGTCGGACGGTTGAAGAGCATCCTACTCGACCTTGGGGTTGCTGTCTTTAGGCGTCCCAAGTGATTCAACCGGGCTACCGGAAAGAGGCTTGTCTGGCAGCTTTACCGTAGGAACAGCTGCGGCCGCGGGTTTTTCCAACTGTGCAATTTGGTAGAATTCGTCTTTCTTTACCCCCCTGAAATGATCAGCAAGGCCTGTAATCTGCGTCTTGAGTGCAGCGACCTCCTTGCTCTCGTCCACATTCGTGAAAGCGCCTTTCACGTTGTCGACGTGCTTGACGAAGTCTTGGAGCCACGTCTCGAACTTCGTCCATGCCGATTCGGCCGCAGCCATACCGTCCGCTGCTGCGTGTTTCTCCACGATGTAGGGATTGAGGTTGGACTTGAATTCGTCGAGGTCCTTAACGACTGTCTTGACCCCGGCCTCGATCGATTCGGAACGCTCACTTTTGGACAGCTTGTCAAGGGCTGTATTCAAATTTTTCGTGGCGCCAACGACGAACTTTCCACCCCACTCATCGAGACGCGATCGTACCGACAGGATTTCCTGATACTTTGCCATAGCTTCTTTGTAGTGATCACGAAGCTGGACATTGTCGATCTTGTGATCCTTCAGAGGTCTTAAGAGCTTCCCAACGAGGGGGTTCCTCACCAGCCACTTCCAAAAGCCAAACCACCACTCGAACGGCTTTGCCAGGATCTTGTGCTTCGCCTGGAATTTAGCAAAAGCGAGCTGGTTGAAAGCTTTCTGCTCTGCAAGCGCGTCCACCGCATTCAAACGCCAGCCTTTTGAAGCGATCTTTTCCGTGATCGGCGCCGCTGCTTCGGATATACGTGTAGAGTCGATTCTCTCCTCAGGGTTCAGATCCAGCGCCGAATCATCGTCGTCAAAAGACTCCCGCAGAAGCCTCTGCGTATCCGCGTCGTAGGCACCGCCGTCCGTCACGCGGGCCACAGGAGAGACGTCGGACTCGGGAAGAGCGTTCGCATCGACACCAGTCGGCATCGCATGACTGGAAGCGAAAACAGCGACGAGGACGGCAGCGGTTGAGTAGGCCAGACGCATGGTCTAGTTGGTCCAGTCGAAAACGCCGTGCGCAAGTGGTGGAGTGACCGTGATACGGTGGTAGTGCTGGCAGCGGTGGAGGTGGCGGTGGTGGCTGCGACGGTGGTGGTGGCTGTGGTAGTGCTGGCAGCGGTGAAAGTGGAGGTGGTAGTGCTGGCAGCGGTGGAGGTGGCGGTGAGAGGTGGTGGTGGGGGGAGCTGTCAAATTGTAAAGTGAGACTTGCGGAGCAGCACGCGCGTGGAGCTCTTCGACCTGTGCTCAGCTATCGGATTCTACAGGTCTGATCCGAAGAAGCTTCCACCGGCTTCAACGACGAAGACGAGACGAGACGACGACCACAACAGCCCTCATATCGTTCTTTCACAATGCACACAGCAATTTACTCCACAACGAGCGCGTTCTGCCATTTGATAGATCCCGAGACCTCCATGCTGTGAGTGCTGCCAACAGCTGACCGTAAAAACTAAGCTCAACGTGTCACAGGGCCAAAAAGAGCGCCGAGTCTGCCAAGTGTAGCGCGCGCGTCACCACTCCAAAGACTGTCTGTTTGTACAAAGAGCTGCCTACGGGAAAGAAGATCTGATCGCGCGACCGGAAGTGGTTCCACAGCTCGTCTGCTTCTGGAACAGAAGGTTTTCAAGCACTGGTGAGCCAGTGTCTCTAGTACGCCTCCTTTCGTGATGGGTCATACAGAGCAAGGGCGGGCTTGAGCTGTTGTGCACAAATCGGTGGGACTGCACAGAAACGAGGTTTCGAGCGACATGTCCGTGCTCCCTCCAGCAGTCGATATGAAAAGCAGCTGGCTGTTTCGATAGCATAGCGGAGGTTTATGCAAATATGAAGGACAAACCTACCGTTCGATTGACGATGCCTTGTCGCAAAGAAGAATGGCCTCAAGCTTGTCGTTTTCATGTGCCAGACGATTGATTCGTCGGCATTCGAACAGCGCTTTGCTGCAACTATTGCCGAAGCGATCGATTGTGAAGGGCATGCGGAGGTCGGCAACTCAAGAAATGCCACGCGCTGTTCGGTAGTTTCCTGTACCGATATCCTGACCACAAGCATCGTATATTGCCTTGATCTTAGCGGAAATGGATGCTTATGATCTTGTTTTTAGTGCGGCGATGATGGCTAGGAATGACGATTACGTATAGGAGATTAAAGAGGAGAAGAACAATAAGCTATAGCTGCACGATGGTGGGCTGACACAGCTGCGTGCTATTTGTAATTGATTGTCGCTTCCTGAGCTTTCTGGTTTGTCTCGAAGAGGATGAGTGTCGTCGCAGGCTGGAGACAGTGAAAGAGGTTCGTAAGGCAGACGGAGACAATAACAGCTTTGGGCTCACAAAGAGTGCAGCCTTCGTCGCAGTAAGGCGTAGTCGACGAACAAGATCAACGTCCGACGTGATACCTGCTCTGTGCTCGACGTGTTCGGGGAAAGCCACCGGGCAGCTCACGGAGCTCTCCGCTACCTTAACATACCATGCGAAACACCCACAGCACTGCTGTCATCCCGACAACGTATACTGTCATTCACGATAGTGTCTGGTGTGCGTTTAGCAGTGCGTGAATGATTGACTTTCTTTGGTGATCGTCTCCTGTACTGCTCTGTCGCATCTTGGCAACAACCAATGGCTCGTTACCATGATTCAGCAGAAATGCAAAGAGGTCGATGGACGCCGGATTTGACGACCTAACAGACGCAACAACATCATGGAGAACAACAAACTAGGAGGAGAAGCTATACCGCAGCCCTGTCTGCTCTGATCGTCCGTATGTAAAAGCGACCACATACCCTGAGGTATCCCGATGCTGGGCGATCGTTTCCTCAATCACATATGGCGGGGCAACTCTCCGTCATCAATCTGCGGGCTATGCGAAATACCTTTTGTTTGCATTTGAGCTTCAATACCGCTTCACCCTATCCTTCTTTCCTCTTTCTCATCGCGGTGTGCTTTCGCCAGGCACGTCTTTCCTGCTGTGGGGTTTCCAGTGTAGATAGGAGACCAAAGCTTTCGCATGCACAGCCCACGCGAGCTCTTACAATGTCGCGATTGGCAACAATCCAGCGCAATGTGACACTTTCTGTGACATGCTACACAGCCATGCGAACGTGCTGAGAGATGGCCGAGTTGAACATTGCACGTGGATTCTCCCCACTATTTACACTGTCAACCACTCCATTGCTGCTGCTATCTCGGGCGGCTACAGTATTGTCACTGTCTGGAGCTCACACGCTGAAAATAAAATGGAAACGAGGCACCCTCGCGCGTTGGATACGCAAGCGCTTCACACGTAGACAGAAGCACGACCCTCTGATGCTGTCGGCAGCCTCTCCATTGGGTCACGCAATTGATACAGTCACGTGATCAAACGTTTATGTCGTCCCCTTTAGGTGGCACGGTTGAGCGAGGTCGAGTCACTGGAGGACGTCTACTTGCGTAAGGCATAGCTGCGACTGACAGCACCGGAGTTTACGTGCTACTGCTACTGACCAGCGCATTCCACTTTACATGACTCGAGTCACTCGCCGACTCGTCGCCGTATGCCTCACGTGTAGCACAGACCCTCTCCTACCTATCGATACATACGCTCCATATTGCCATCCAACAACTACGTGCAGAACGGGTGTTGGTGGTGCGTGGGGTTCACTCTGGAAGCGAATGAGTACCACTCGGACGATACGGACGATGATGAGTGGGCGTTGCGCTTTGGTCCCCTTCATCCAGTGTTTCTGCACGCACATGAACGCGCAGGCAGCGCCAGATGCATCTGTTACCCCCCCCCTCGCTGCTGAAGACGAGAGACCTGGGGAGGTGGAGCAATCCAGCTACATCTCTACAAACCGCTAGTCTCGCACCGCTCACGCAGCTGCTGCTGATGTATGGCGTCTCCTTACCCATTCCGCGACCTAAACACATCACCGCGGCGATCGGCTGATACCAATGACGAGCTGTCGTCGGCATGCGCTCGAAACAAAAAGACGCTGGGCTCAGCTGTCACGTCAGCGTCATCTGTAAAGCCAGCAAAAAAAACACAAGGTGCGAGCCAGCCTGACTCGCATCAAGATATATCGATCGCCAGGTGTCGTCCGAACTTTCGAGAGCCCTTGTTCAGTCACCAGGGCAGCGCTGATCTCCATCGATCCATTGCGTTCCAGAATGCCGACTCGTTGAACCCTCGCGCGGTGTTCGACGTGACACCGATCAGCGCTACATCCCGATATGCACCAGCTCTTGCTTCGCGTGCAGGCGCACTTCGCACTTGATCCGCTGACAATCGCTCTGAAACGTCGATGCCGTTGCCTAGTGGCATCACGACAGAGCCTCACTTGACTCGTCCATTCACGTGCACGCGACTTGGTACGCGACCGTGTAGCCCTCTCTGATGCCATCTAGGGATCCCAGATCCACACATGACGGTAGCTCAGCTCGACCAGAAAGTTGTGCATGCCGCGGCGCAACACGTCTAGACCCGGGTAAGCTCGGACAGCATATAGACGACTCTAGTGCTTTTGCGAGCGAGATGGCACGAAGACTTGGGCGGCTTCAGCGGGACAGATCACCGCGAGTTTCGTCCGATACGAAGTGAGCATGCTGTCCTTGCCCATAGCAACGCGCATATCGATATATCCGCTCATATACATCCCGAACACTCAGAATAGATGCGGTGCACGATCTCTCGCTCCATGAACCTCGCTAGACCTTCGGTCAATCACATACCTGTCCCATCAGTTCGTCGTGACCGGCCGTCCCAACTGATTAACGCGCAGTCCCACTACAGGCTGCAAGCTGCAGCTGTCTCGTGCCGTCGCTGCTGATCACTTCTCCGCAAACAGCTTCGTCTTGCGATACGTATTGGGCTCCCGTGGTTCACGGTCGCAACTGCTGCGACGTCAAAAAGAATAAGGGTCTCCAAGAGATCGCCGAGACGGCAATGAAAGCCAAGCGTCCACACGTCGAGCGAGGACTTCAAGTTCAAGCACAGGCTTGTGCTGTTTGGAACTGACTGTCCACTGGACGTCGCAAGGCACCAAGGGACCAAACTTCACCTTCGCAAAAGGACCGTCCGAGCTGACGAACGCTCAGAGCGCGTTACAGATTTTAAATCGCGTGACGCCTCAAGAAATGCGCCGTGTTCCGCACCGCAGCTGCTCGTCATCGTAGACGCTGCGGTAGGAACAACGACACAACTTTTTGTTGTCGAGTCCTTTGAGGCATGTGAGCAATAGGTCAGCCAATTACTCAACGAAGAGCTCGTCTTTCTGCAGCAATAGATCGACGGGTTCGGTAAATCGTACGCAGCAGATGCCAATGCATCGAAGGAGCGCAACACAGTCGTCGGCGGTTTCGAACAGAGGTATTGAGCTCGAGCAGCTGCAGAGCGTGACAAGTGATAGGGCGAGTGGCTGTAAACCGCAACAAGAGACACGTGTCGACGCGGTGGAAAAGGCGCAACAGCGTTCGAGGATGCCGTCGATAGTATAGTCGAAAGGGTGTGTGGACGGCACGCCGCAAGTAGGGGATGCGCGCGATTGGTTTTGTCACTTATGAGGCAAGTGAGCATTTGTCCGTGGAATGGCATAGTGCGGTGGATGTTGTTTTGTCATGGAGTGGATGGTCGAAATGTGAACGTTGTAGCTGGGATCAAAGTTGCTCTAGTAGTCGTCAACAAAATACATCTACCCCTACCAATATGTAGTACGTAGTAGGGAAATCGTAAAAAAACATAGGTGATCGCCTAAAAAACTGTGTTACGGTTAGGTAATACATTATCCATATTTAATATTCACTAAAATGGGTAAAGAATATACCACTTTCTATTGAACTTCGATAGAAACGTTGCTAAGATAAGTAGGACACTCCGCTTTTCAATAAACGGACTGCAGTCCCAATTTGTTAATAGCCTGCTACGAGCACTGCCCTTGCACACGCCCAACAATCGCTGCACGTGCATGCCGTAACGTCGACTGTGTCACAGCGCATTCATCCGTTTTGCTC